CCAGGCCAGCGCTTTCCAAGTCCTCCAGGCTGGCTTTGTGTCCCCATCCCTCTCTGATGGATGCCTCGGCCTCTGAGCCTACCCGTTAGGACACGTCACCGTTACTGCCATCGTTTCTTGACTTCCGGCCCTTGTACTAGACCCCAAATCCACAGGGAACAAGTGGTTAGTGTATTAATTATCTCATATAAAAGATCACTTCTCTCAGGAGCTGAAATTACCCTTGCCAAGCCACACATTTTAACAAAAACTGCTTTAGAAACAGGTTGCTACGGTTAAAAAAAAAAAAAAGCATCCTCCCAATAGGTTTTGAAAAGAGCTCATATGTCAGCCAGACCAAAATGAAACTGTACGAAAATTTAGTAGAGTTGTTATGGATTCAGTGAGGAATCCACAGCTGGAAGTTGTGAGGCTTCTCAGCTTCCTGGAATTTCTTCCCATTAGTAACAAGTAGGGCACAGTCCATTTCACGTTGGAGGATAGAAATGAGACGGCTCTAGACTTGGAGTCCTGTGAGTAGCACCCAAATCTGGAAGACTCATGAAGCGTAATTCAATATTAAACTCGGGGACTGTGACGAGAAATTAATGAAGAAACACAGCAGCAAGTAAGTATTAAATACCACAGAGCACTTGACATAGGCTGTTCAGAAATTGTGCTTTGGGGTATTTTCTTTCCCCAGCTGGCAAAGGATAATATACACAAAAAACACCATGTGCGAAACAGGAAACACACCAGGCAGGGCACGGAAACAGTGCACATCATGTTTACTGTGTACTGGGAGCGTCATGTGTGTGATCAACTCCGCCCTCACCCCTCTTTACTGATACTAGGAGGTTGGTTAAAACTGACGTCAGACTTGGGCGTTTCAAGCTGAGAAAAAGACAAAGCAGCCATGACGGTAACACCAAACCCTGACCAATCTCTCACAAATGAAAGGCTAGTAAAAGCGGGGGACCGGTAAATTAATTAACTGGAAGGCCATTCATTAGGCTGGGGTGGCTCCGGTGCCCTCGGTTCTGACCTAAGCAAACTTTAACCCATCTCAGAGTGAATGGTCATAGCTTAGGAAAAGGAAATTTAAGTGTAACCAATCAGAACACCAACTAACCTCTAAATAGGGACAAAGTCCACCTCTGGAACCTAGACTGTCGCATACTGGTACAACCATAGCTCACTGCAGCCTAAAACTCTTGGGCTCAAGGGGTCCTCCCACCTAAGCCTCCCAAGTAGCTAGGCTTACAGGAATGACGAACTGTGCCTGGCTAATTTTTTAATTTTTTGTAGAAATAGGGTCTTGCTATGTTGCCCAGGCTATTCTGAAATCCATGGCCTCATGCAGTCCTCTTGCCTCAGCCTCCCGAAGCTCTGGGATTACAGGTGTGACCAGAGTAGGGACTTTCCAATCAATCAAATGTTTTCCTTGTCTTGGCTCCATAAACACCTGTAAAAGTCTTCCCTCATGCCCCCAGGTGAAGCCCTCAATTGCTTGTGGCCTGGGCCCGATTCATGAATCACCGCTCGCTCAAACAAACCCGTGGAAAACCGAAAAAACTGACGGTCACACTTAATCAAACTGTTCAAGTCCTGTACGGAGAATGGAATGCAATTTTCAATCCACGTTAAGTTTACTCTATTCGAACATCTATTTGACATTACCGTTTATTTTATTTAAAATTTGTTTTATTTTGTTTTCATTTTATATGAATGAAGCCTGAGTGAGCTCTTGAAAATTCCATCCCTGACCCAGGCAGTTCACCATTTCCCTGGATTTCTAAGAGTTTTGAAAACAATAAGGGATCTTCAAGCTATTTTCTTGTGAAATTTTCAAAATTTCAAATAATGTAATGGCATAAATTCCCCGAAATAAACATGTTAAGTTGTTGATTTGAAACTTGTTTACGTTTCATGTCATTGTGCTCAGAATCACAGTGCTGCGGCTGTGTGTACTTGCACACGTCACAAAACTCAACCACTGGTTAATAAACACACCGAAGCTCCCAGCTCCCAGCCCCCATCCGCAACACCCCTGCTTTGTTGGGCCTCATTTATAGACATTCTGCTTAAGACAGCTCCCGCGAAAGAATGTCATATTGAAAATATTTTCAAAGACGCATAACTGCCAATCAAAGCATCTCATCAAAATGAGATTACCAGGGTTATGAATTCTAGGTCAAAACAGCGCAACATGATACCGCATTGTGAGTACTTATAGCCTTTTCAGGGGAAATTTATGCCATTACATTATTTGGAAATTTGAAAATTTTACAAAGAAATAGCTTGAAGATCCCCATTATTGTTTTCAAAACCTTTAGAAATCCAGCGAAATGGTGAACTGCCTGGGTCAGGGATGGAACCTTCTAGAGCTCACTTGGGCTTCAGCCACCGTCTACCTCTGCCTCCTTTTTTCTCCTGACAGTGCCATGTGGTTAACCCAACCTCTTGATGTGGCAAACCATTGTTTCCATTTCCCTCAACAAAAGAGAAATGGTGTTTGATCCCCACATACCCACTGTGAATATGAGAATAATTGATATTCTATATTCTTCCTCTGAAAAAGTTTATTTTTGCTATAGCATCCCTTAATTCTATTTTGGAAGTCCTGTAACAATGTAATTTCATAGTTACTGTATTTTTTAAAGTGCATTTTCTTTGATAAAAGCCACCACAAAATCTAAGAATAAAAAAGCTGAGCCTCTTTTTAACAAAAAAAAATAATTATGGTAGAGAAATATGACAAGCTCAGAATCTGCCCTGCACTAATGCAGCATGAAGGAAGAGTTTAATAAGGATGCAGAAAATGGTACATTATCTCATCTGGAGGAACTGAAGGGCATGAATTAAGGCCACAACAAAAAGAAACTGAAGAATTGCTAAATGAAGCACTGAGTGGGGAAAATGAAAAATCAATGAAGGAATGGAGGAAAAAAGGTACATTTTTCATCTTCATGATGCTTGATTGGGTTTGTGGAAATTCATTTTCAATTAATGTGTCTTGTGGCATTCAGCCAGGCTAGATATGAACATGGCACATATTTTAATCAATTTTTTCCTATTAAGTTTGAAGTAATATATAATAATAGAACTATACCATTCCAAAGGATCGGCTGCAACTGGCTTCTGAGGTAAAATAATGTAATTTGGTTTGATTTCTATCTTATATTAAAGATAACCCAACTTCTCCTGAAAGAGAGGAGGAGGAGCACTCTGGTTCCTAAGCGTGGCTTGGCTGTACAAATGTCAGGGAAGGACAGTTAAACTTCTTCCCAATCTGAGCACCTTTGCTGAGAAGGAAGTAAAAAAGGAACGTGCAATCCACAAGGAACTTTGCTGGGTTGGCTCACGATTCTCAGAAACCACCTTAGGTGGTTATCTCAACCGTACCAGGAAACCGAGGTTCCAACACTTCATCATTCATTCATTCCCTTAACAATCTGGATGCTGACAGGGCTGAGAGGAAGACCCAGGGAAGTGTCTGTGAGGCCAGGGCCAGGCTGTCCCATTTACACCACACCGTGTGTGAGGTTTGCTTGCTTCCATCCTCCCTGTGCTCACAGCCTATGGCTGCAAAGCTGCCCTGCACAGAAGGCAGGGCTGGGAAAGGGTTGACACGGGGTATCTTCTGCCACAAAGGATCTGCCGTGGGCTTGATTCTTGAGGCTCGTTTTTTCCCTCTACGATTCAAGAGGAGGCTGGTGGAATGGAGATGGGGAAGCAGCTCATATACCCCTGTGCTTTTCTTGATGAATTCAGTTTCAGAGACAAAACACCACCTGAACAGGAGTGTCCAGGGAGAGAACTGTTTCAAAATCATGTAATGCATATATATGGAAGCCTCTAGCTCCACACCTGGCACGTTGCTGGTGCTAAAACAAAAATGCATTTTAAAAGCTCTTCCTTAAGTTCAAGTGCCTGGAAAGTGAACACTCTCTAGCACTAGCCAGGTCTCTCCTTGAAGCTCTCTTGCTGTCCTCCCTGCTCCTCTCCCCTCCGATTCCTCCAGCACCCACTGGCCAGAGGCACCACTCGGGCTCAGATCTGATCAGGCAATGGGACGCCATTGAAGAATGAGGAGCAGAGTGATGGAGGACATCCTTCCTGGCTTGGTGCGAATAAACCATCACAATTGGTGTCAACCTGTATTTCTAGCCTCTTCATTTCTCACTCCCTCATACCATCCCAACTAGATGAACGCTCTGTGAACTCGCCCTGTACTTACTGCTCTCCATGTTTTTGCTTTTACTTATTCTCTCGTCTGACATGTCCACCCATTCAATCCCTGCCGAGAAAAATCCAACCTACCCAGCAAGGCCTGGTCAAACGCTACCTCCTCCCGGAAGACTCTCCGCCTACACAAGAACTAGTCTGTACTGGCAGCAACTGCGCTAGGCATTTGGCACACATCGTACCAGTCAATCCTTACAACCACCTCTGGAGGAGGTGCTGTCGTAACAGTACCATATTACTGATGAGGAAACCAAATCTTGGAGAGGATAACTTGCTCAGGATACAAAGCCTAGTGAGGAGCAGAGGCGGTATGCAAAGCCAGACTTGATTTACTCAAAGCCTATGAACCGAACCACTGGGTCTTCCAGCCTGTGTGTTCCCACCACTTACGACGCTTTGCCTCAAGTTCTAACGAGTTTCAATGTCAGCCAACACGTGCTTTTACAGCAGGAACTCTTGCCCATTTTTGCACTCATGCTCCTAGGAGGCTCTTCTTAAATGTTTACCAACTGTCCCATCAGAGAAGAGCTCCTCATCAATTGTACCTGGCTCCTGCTCATCCTCACTCCCACTCTTAAGCCCAAGGAGTGGGTTTCCCTCGGTCTTCAGCAGAAGCAAACGGAAGCAGGAATAGTCAAAGACAATGGTATGGGGGAAATAACTCCAGCTCGAAGAAGGTGACATGAAAAACATCAGTATGGCAATGCTACTAGAGAAACAACCTTCCCGTGAGCCAAAAATAGCAGGAGGCCTATTCATTTCACACACAAAAATAAATTCTACGTGGATTATTCTTTATTTGGGCAAGAAATATTTATTGAGCAACTGTCATTTGCCAGTGACTATCCCAGGTGTTAGAGATATACAGCCACGAACAAAACAGAGGCAAGTCCCTGCCCTCATGGGACTTACATTCTAGTGGAAGGAAACAGGCAACAGACAAAATAAACATACAAAACAGACAAATCAAGTGCAAGACATATTATTGGATGATAAGTGCTGGGGAGAAAAACAGAGTGTGGAAGACGACAGAGGGGGCGGATGTGCAGCCTGTAACTGAAGACCTGAAAATGAACAATCAAACTTCAAAACTATATAGAAACTATCTACATGGCACACAAGACACACAACATAGCCAAAAAGATTAACTTCCCTTCCACCGACAGGAAAAACTTAGGTATTATAAAAGATACCACAAACGAAAAACAGTGACTAGAAGATAACGGCCCCCAAATAATTTTTATAAATGATTAATATTGGTAAGACGTAGAATTCCTACGAGTTAGCTGGAAAAAAAAGAAAAACAACCTAACGTAAAAATGACCAAATGATATGAACGACCATTTCATAAAGGAAGAAAGATGAATGGTCATTAAGCTTAAGACAAGTTTCTCAACCCCACAAGTGCAATGAGTAATAATCAGGCTGACGCAAAGCACCGAGATTCCATTTCCTAACTGGCCAAAATTATAGTCCACACAGTGGCAAGTGGGGGTGAGCATTTGGAAAATCTCGCCTCTCCTACGTGACTGGTGGAATGTACGGGCACTGTGGGCAGTGATGGGACAATATCTTAACAAGATGAACTGCGTCAGTCCCATGCACGAGCATTTTCTCCTCTAAGTGTACTTCCTAGTTAGAGAAGGTATGATTTGTAAAAGAATAAAAATTTCAATAGGATAAATAAGTTACAATATATTCAAATAAAAGGATATTAAACAGCCTTGAAATAAATAATCTAGATCCATGTGGAATAACAGCAAAAACAAAACTAAGTTGCAAAATAGGTACAATAAAACTTATTTTTAATATTATAAATTAAAATTCATGTAAAATTTAAAATACAAACTAAGCCACATAGTTATAATTTTACTATATTTGTATACATATTTGGTCTCTATTGAGGCCATGCCTTCTATGTAAATATATATAATCATATAAGGCATGGCCTAGATGGGGAGCTAATTGCCTCTGAAGAGAAGACGGGGTGAAAGAAGGAAAAGGAAGAGAATGGGGGAGGGGCAAAAAGAGAATCTCTTCCTCATCTGTGATGTGTTCTTGTGTTTAAAAAAAAAAACCAGAAACAAATGTGCCCAAATGACAACATTTGTTAATTCTAGAAGAGGGTACATGGGTTTTTGTATCATTTTCTATAACTTTTTCCAATTTAAATTTTTTTCCAATGAAAAAGTAACCAGAAGAAAAAGAGGCTGGCTTTGCGGCCTCACATCTGTGTATGGAGTGCAGCGCCATTACGGTTTGCTGAGGGACTGCCAGCTACTTCTTTTTTAAGACTCGAAGCCTCAGTTTCCCATGCTTAAAAGATTGAGCAAATAATACCTTCCAGAGATGACTGACATGGGAAAGTGACATCCATATGCATCACCTTGGAATAACAGAAGCATTTGTGACTGACAGTGACCTCTAACATGAATTACTTAGCCTCACATACTTCCTATGGCCAGAAACTGGGCACCAGGTCTCTGAGAAACAGTTCAAAGTCAATTAGAACAATTTCAGTAAACAAGCATAGGTTCAACATTTCCAAAGAAAAAGATCTTTTCCCCTAAAAAGACAATTTATATTGTGAATATAGTAACCAACATCATAGAATGAACCTGCTTTTTTAATAATACATGCAATACATACAGAAAAAAAGGCTGCCACAATTGTGCTCTTTCTGATACCTTCCAAAAGTTGACATTTTAGATAAAGTATCTAAGCTTTTGAAATAAACAAGTGAGTAATACCATGTTAAACACTAGAATTAGAAACCGTGGCGCTGTCATTCACAATAAATAACGCCTACCTTAGTTTGAGCAGCCCCCTCCTTTGGGTGGGCGTGAGAGGCTGGGAGACAGAGCTGTAGCCTTGGAGACCAAGACTAAGGACCCAGTAAAGGAGGGAAGGGGGTGGCAGGGCAGCATCTGAGCACATGACTCAGGTTTGACAAGCAGTAAGCCAAGTTCACACCTTATCACAGTCCAGGCGAGAAAGAGGTGATTGAGGGGCATCAGCAAAGGCAGCAAAGAGTAGTCTGAAGTAGGTCCTGTGATGCAAAGAACCAGACCTAGGGAGATGGATAGTGAGCCTAGGCCCCAGGGCCAGGGCCAAGCGCAGCAGACGTCAAGGGCATCCACCAAGTGGCACTCTCAGGTCATGCAGTATTATAGGAACCTCACTCACTGCTCCAGAATAAGGCCTGCCTGGCCTCCAGACACTGTCCACAGCCCGAAAGAGAGAAGAAACTCCAAAAGCAGAAGAAAGCACAGCACCTTAAAGTGGAGCCCACATGGGTGACCCAGTTTCTCTAAAGGTCTCTGCGTTCTCTTAATTATTCCATTTTTTAAAACTTGGTAATGAATCAGTGCTGCTAGAACAAATGCCAGTGACTCTCCACCAGAGACTTAGAAAAACACTAGAGCAATAAAGGTATCCCTAAGCGACAGGATAGGTAACAACACTAAGCTAACGTCCAGATGAGCTTCTCAAATCTGCCCGTCTGCTTTGTGGAAATCAGAATACCCAGCATAGTATCTGGGGATCTGTGTCTAAACAGCACGGTGCACAGGTCGACGATATTAACAGTTAATTACTGATATGGAAAAGCATTCATCTGCTGCGTTCCCATCCCTCCCTCCTTGCTTAAGCTGGGCAGAAGCGTCTAAATGAAAGCAAAGTCAAATGTTAACAAGAAAGCACCCTCATGCCCGCTCTGCCATGAAGGAGGGGTAGGAGCGGAGAACTAGCCAACGTCTGAGGGACACAGGGCCTCTGAGCACACTCACTCCATGAGCCCAGTCTCTGAGCTTATGTAGACTCAAGCCACCCATTGCTATGACTGCGGCCACTACTGCTGCTTGTCAGCAAAACTGTCACGTTCTGATGAAACGCCAGTGCCTACAGCAGTCTCAGCAAAGACCTCTATAAAAATAAAGCATACACGAAGGATGTTTCAGTTCAGCACATTGCAGCCAAATAGATTTCTCTTTGTCAGACACACTTCGTGAAGTTGGTTGAACCACTTCAGGCAAAATGCCCATCGTGACAGAAGCAAGCTAAACTCCTCTTAGAAGAGTGCTAAGATGACAAGGTTGACATCCATTCAGAAAGGACACCCTCGGGGCCACCTCTTATATGCAAATGGAACCAAACACATGGACACCTGGCTGTTTCTGTACGTTCTGGGGAGTGATCTGGTGGGAGCACTTCCTTCCCAGAGCACTAAGGTTCTTCGAGCTCTCTTCCCATCTCCTTAGCAGGCGTCTTCGGCAGCCTTTCTGTAAGGACTCATCTTCCCAGCCTCCACCTGGAACCTCCTGAATGGTTTTCGGTCTTTTTCATTGCAGTTGCTTCTTGGATGTCTACTCAAGTTCCTAAAAATCCTCTGTGAATCTCTGAGTTGTCTTGACTCTGCAGTTCGAGGCTGTACAAGTCCGGGTAACGGTATGTGGGTGTGTTCCCAACAAGAGCCCCACATCGTCAAATTTTCCTTTCAGAAGTGTGTCCTTCCTGTTTGGTTCCTTGGCTCATCATAGATAAATACCACCTGTTCCCAGCAGAGGGTACAAGTGTTCTTCTAATCACGGACAATAAAGGAACCGCTTCCAACCCAGAGCAGGCTACCAATTTATCATCTTCCAAAGAGCCGGAGACTAAATCTGGAGAAGAGCTCGTGCGACATGATCTGGAGACAGTTCAATTGAGTGGATTAGGTTTGTGGGCTCAGTGCTAGGGCTCCTTTCCCCTACCCCCAATGTGGCTAATGACCAGTCATGAGAAGTACTTGAAATCCTCTAAACACAGGGCAGTGAGCAAAAGCGGACTTTGCTGTGTGCACATCTCAGCACACGACACAATAGTTTTAAATTGTGTGCCAGCAAATGGCTGAACCGTTTAAAAATGGAAGATACTTGGGATGAACAGAATTTAAATTTTAAAAATTGCTTTGTGTGTAAATACTCTTGTCAAGGGACTGACGGCTAAGCTGGAAAACAGCACAGAGCACAAAAGAGAAGAGAGAATTATACCCAAAGATCGAATGTGGCCAAGAAGACTCCCCAAGGGAAAGATGAAGGGCAGCGCTCTGCACAGGTCAGGAAACCAACATTGCTACCTTTGCTTTTAATTCACCTAACTTTAGGTACACACAGCAGGAACCCACTGCCTGGTGGTAATAATAACCTCCATTCGTATTTTTTTTTTTTTTGAGACGGAGTTTTGCTCGTTACCCAGGTTGGAGTGCAATGGTGGGATCTCGGCTCACAGCAACCTCCGCCTCCTGGGTTCAGGCAATTCTCCTGCCTCAGCCTCCTCAGTAGCTGGGATTACAGGTACATGCCACCACACCCAGCTAATTTTTTTTTGTATTTTTAGTAGAGACGGGGTTTCACCATGTTGACCAGGATAGTCTCAATCTCTTGACCTCGTGATCCACCCACGTCGGCCTCCCAAAGTGCTGGGATTAGGCGTGAGCCACCACGCCCGGCCCCATTAGTTTTTATTTCTTATGATCCAATTAACATGCGCATTGTATACATGTCATCTCATTTAACTCTTACAAAAACTGGGGTATATACTATTATTAACCCTATTTGATAGACAAGGAGACTAATAACTTTTCAAAGGTCCACAATAGTAGATGCAGTCTGTCTGATGCTAAAGTCCATGCTCATTGCTCTCTTTCTAGGCCATCTTTTGTCGTATGCACACAAAGGTCTCTAACTGCAGGAGCATGTGGATTTAGGGACTAGGAATGTGAAGCCTTGTTTGGCCAACTGGCTAAAGAGACAGATTCTCAAAGCCTCAACTCCCTCAAGAGTCACTGCACCTCCATCCCCCGATCCAGTTTGTCTCCCCAGGGACTGCTGCATTATGACGACAGCATCACTCTTTAAACAAATCTAAGAGACGACCATTAAGTACTTTCAAAATCACTCCTTAGGGATCACAGTAATATTCTGCTTTGCCTTGAACTTGAGAAGTGGTCATTGTTAATTATTCCACCAAGACATATTTTTCTTCTCTTTCTAAATGGGTGCAGTGTGGCCAAGTGTAATGTCTTCTGTATAGACAGCAGTGAATGATTTAAACCAGGGCAAGGCAGACACGTGCATACAAGCACAGTCAGAAGATCTATGACAATCACTCTTAGTCTCTGCTAGTGGTAGGTTCCCAGCTTTCAAGGACTTAGGTGGATTGGATTCTGTCCCTTTGAGTTTCTATCATCTATTTAACAAGTGGACCTCATCCCATCTTAATAACAATCTCTCCAGATGAGCCTAAATAGCCTTTGAGGTTTTTACTACCTGGATACCACCAGGCCAGTGCAGCTGTTAAGAGTAGGCTGTCAGGCCAGATGCAGTGGCTCACGCCTGTAATCCCAACACTTTAAGAGGCCAAGATGGGAAGATTGCTAGAGACCAGGAGTTGGAAGACCAGCTGAGCAACATAGCAAAACCCTGTCTCTATTTTTTAAAAAAAGAAATTGGCTGGGTGTGGGTGCACGTGCCTATAGTCCCACCTACATGAGAAGTTGAACGGGGAGGATCACTTAAGCCCAGGAGTTGGAGGCTTCAGGAAGGTATGATTGAAACACTGCACTCCAGCCTGAGCAATAGAGCAAGACTTGGTCTCTAAAACAAAATTTTAAAAAGGGTGAGCTGTCACAGAATCCTCCCAGGACCAGGGGCTGGCAATAAGTGAAGGTCTCCTGACAGTGCCCAGAGAGTCACAGACTTGGAGCAGCTTTCTGACTTCTGTGCTCCTGTCCCTGGTGACTATCTCCCTGGCTTGCTTTCTGTCGAGCCCTCCCTATTCTGAGTTCATCACCAGCTTCCCACCTCAGGCATAGGCGTTTCCGAGGGACACTGGCCAAAAACACAAACATGAAACCCAGCAAGGAGAGCCAGGCCACTGCTGTGAGAATCCAGGACAGCAATTCTCAGTCGGGCTGCATATTAGAAGCACTTGTAGAGTTTTTAAAACGAAACCAAACTCAGTACTCAGTCTGCCTCCATCCCATCTGCCAAGTCCAGGCATGTCTTACAGCTCCCCAGGTGGTTCTCATGTGCAGCAGTTCCTTCTACCTGTGCACTTTTAGAACACGTCATTTACAGCAATTGCTTTCAGCAAAGGCAGTCAAAAGAAAATGCCTCCTCTACAAATGAACAGAAACTCCCTTCAGGCACTGTTGGAGGAACACTTCCTACCCACAAATGGCAATGGGAAATCAGAAGGAAGACATGATAAAATAAACGGATGCCTAATGACTACACTGGGAAACGGTTTTTAAAAAAAAAAAAAAACTCAAGAAATTACTGTTTATTCAGCTGAACAATATCTCTGCCCATTGGCAAAAATGTAAACTCACCATCGTGGAGGGCAAATAATTTATTTTTTCCTCCACTTTCCCCTTGGCAGGAGAACTGCTCTGGTTGGCAGCAGGTGAGCCATGGTGAGAGCAGGCAAAGAGGCGTGAAAGACTTCGGACTGAAGAAGTCACACTAGAAGCTGCGTGAGCAGAGAGCACTGTGGGGGCCTCAGGATCCTCTCTCGCTTTTTACCCCTCGCAGCTCTCCCAGATTGACCTTTCCCGGCAATCTAAAGAATGCAGCTTGACTCAAGACCAAAGGCCAGTCCAACAGGATGCCTGCTACATAACTTTCTTCACAAGGGTTAATTAACGTCTATGAAGTGGTGGACTTCACAGTACAATCTATTTACCTGTGTATCTCTCTGGCTCAATAGCCATCATACGTGTACGTACGTAGGTATGTATGCAATGTCTGTCTCTTTCTCCAGACCGTGCCCATGACAGCTCCATGTTCAGGAGCATTGCAAAAATACTAGAGCAGAAGAATGAGTGTGATTTTCATTCCTCTGTTTCCTTGTTTTTTACTTTGCCCTGAGGAAAAGTCACCTACTTAATGGCTTTACAGGGGAGTGGTATCCTTCTCCCTGCCATGAGAGGTAACAGGGTAGAGATTTTCTAAAACCCTGTTATTTTTTAAGTTTTTGATTAGTTATTCAATAAACAACATTTCCATTACTGAAAAAAAAAAAAAAAAAGACTTGCCCAAGGGCAAGACTACCCTGGAACCCCCAAGTGGGTAACATCGTGACAGCAGGGCCCTGTCTGCATGACCCCCCACTGTGTAACCAGCCCCAGCACGAAGCAGGTGCTGCTGGGTATCTGCTGAATGGATGAATGAATTCACTTCCCCTTGAGGGCTGTTTCTTTCCAATCCCTCAGCGTTTCTCTGTATTTTCTGGCTATAAGGGGTACCTGTGGGACTTTTTTGTTTTGTTTTTCATCTTCATCAAAGCCAGAATCAGCTGGAAGAACTAGTGATGAGGGAGATACCCAATCCCCTGTGACCTCCATGAAGAAGGAGACTTACTTCAGTAGGAAGACCTAGCCTAGGGAGGAATACTTGGTCCCACGTTTCACAGAAGACACTTTGCACTGTGTTTTCTCACTGAACTTGACCCTGTAAGATATGTACTAACCCTCCATTTTGAAAGGGCTTACCCCATCATGAGCCCTTCCTACACAGTACGGTTCTACTGTCTCCCACCATGGAAATCAAGTCATTTTTGAGCTAAGGATGACAAAATCTGGGCCAGTTTCTTTGTATTATGTATTATGACTATGATAGAGTGATATTCCACTGAGGTAGGAAGAAACACGTTTCTTAATGTTTAAGGATTCCAAGGATCTCAGTGGTAATACCTGAACACGTGGGGCTAAAACAAAAGCAGCCCATCATTTTAATAAACTAAGTTTCCTCACAGACATTATGGCCAAAATGATGCCAACAATGGATGGAGACGAGACTGCCATCCGTGGGAATGCGAGGCTGTGATGAAGACCAGCTCCCAGACCCACGTGAGGGAAGGAAAGGGGCCCCTAACAGCCGCTATGCCCGGGGAGCCAGAGTCCGCAGATGAAAACATACTTCTCTTCTAGAGTCAGAGTTCCAGATTTATTTCACAAGTGACCAATTCAGTAGTCTAGATTTTTCAAAATTTGCTCCAAGTAACCTGTGACTTAGTTATGATTTTGCTGATTTCACTCATTATGCAACATAATGAGAAGGCTGCGCTTCTAAAAACAGGTACAGCAGAGTAAATACAGAAAATTCTTTTTTTTTTTTTTTTGAGACGGAGTTTCGCTCTTGTTACCCAGGCTGGAGTGCAATGGCGCGATCTCGGCTCACCACAACCTCCGCCTCCTGGGTTCAGGCAATTCTCCTGCCTCAGCCGCCCGAGTAGCTGGGACTACAGGCACGCACCACCATGCCCAGCTAATTTTTGTATTTTTAGTAGAGACGGGGTTTCACCATGTTGACCAGGATGGTCTCGATCTCTTGACCTCATGATCCACCCGCCTCGGCCTCCCAAAGTGCTGGGATCACAGGCATGAGCCACCGCGCCCGGCCCAGAAGATTCTTTATGTGATGAACACTCAGCCAAAGTTGCCAGACTTCCTCCACACAGTCTTTCAGATTTCGGGACACAGGATTTGTGGAGGAGCACCAAAGAACTTCGAAATCAACTCTGCACTTTGTAAAGAATGTACCCACGATGAAGGGCTAAATGCTTTACTATTGCAGCCAGTACTAGAAACGTTTTGTTTTGAATGAAAAGCAGTAATTTGCCTCTTTGAAAGTGGCTCTTGCTTCACGATACAGAACAAAAACACATTCCCTCACAATTTCTAAGACGTGAATTCAGCTCTCATCTCTCCTTGAGCACGTCTTCCCCAGTGCCCTGAATTACTCGGGTTCTCAACTCCTTTCCAACCTGGTCTTGGTCTTCTGAATGTGCTCGTCTGTCAATGTCCCTGGACCATGTTTCTACTTTTTAAAAAAATGTATTCATGTAAGTGGCTATTGCAATTGAAATTTTAAGCTACCTTTCTTTTTTTAGATGGAGTTTCGCTGTTGTTACCCAGGCTGGAGTGCAGTGGCGCAGTCTTGGCTCACTACAACCTCCGCCTCCCAGGTTCAAGCATTCTCCTGCCTCAGCCTCCCGAGTGGCTGGGATTACAGGCTCCCACCACCACGCCCGGCTAATTTTTGTATTTTTAGTGGAGACGGGGTTTCGCCATGTTGTCCAGGCTGGACTCAAACTCCTGACCTCAGGTGGTCCACCTGCCTTGGCCTCCCAAAGCTCTGGGATAAGAGGCGTGAGCCACCGTACCCAACTGCCATTTTTTTCTTATATAAATTATTGCAGTATGCTGGGCAAACACAAACTATCTAAATCAGGCAGCAAACATTATCAGGAATAAAAAGTATCTCTTTTTTTGTTGGTGGTGGTGGTGGCGGTCTACACTCACTGTTGAAAGCCAGCCAGCCCCTCGGGGTGTTAACCCTGATGGCACCCTCAACAGTAGCTGGTGATTTCATTCCAATGACTGGGCCTTCCAGACCACAGACCACAGACCACATCAGAGCTTAGAGAAGTTTATCTAGAAGATATGAAGTGACAGGTAGAAAAAGGCAAAGCCTGAACAGAGATCTTCATATGCATCCCTATACACACACATGTATATGTATGCATGCACGTGTGGGGGGTGTGTGTGTGTGAATTCCTTCATATGCATCGCTATACACACATACCCGTGTATGCATGCACGTGTTTGTGTGTGTGAATTCCTTCATATGCATCCCTATACACACACCTATGTATATGCATGCACGTGTATGTGTGTGAATTCCTTCATATGCATCCCTATACACACCCGTGTATGCATGCACGTGTGTGTGAATTCCTTCATATGCATCCCTATTCACACACACATGTGTATGCATGCACGTTTGTGTGTGTGTGTGAATTCCTTCATATGCATCCCTATACACACCCGTGTATGCATGCACGTGTGTGTGTGAATTCCTTCTTATGCATCCCTATACACACACACATGTGTATGCATGCACATGTGTTTGTATGTGTGTGAATTCCTTCATATGCATCCCTATACACACACACGTATATATATATGCATGCACGTTTGTGTGTGAATTCCTTCATATGCATCCCTACACACACACATGTATGCATGCACATGTGTTTGTGTATGTGTGTGAATTCCTTCATATGCATCCCTATACACACACGTATGTATATACATGCACGTGTGTGTATGTGTGAATTCCTTCATATGCATCCCTATACACACACACGTATATATATGCATGCACGTGTGTGTGAATTCCTTCATATGCATCCCTACACACACACGTGTATGCATGCACGTGTTTGTATGTGTGTGAATTCCTTCATATGCATCCCTATACACACACACGTATGTATATGCATGCACGTGTGTATGTGAATTCTTCATATGCATCCCTATACACACACATGTGTATGCATGCACGTGTGTGAATTCCTTCATATGCATCCCTATACACACACACATATGTATATGCATGCACATGTGTTTGTGTGTGTGAATTCCTTCATATGCATCCCTATACACACACATATGTATATGTATGCACATGTGTTTGTGTGTGTGAATTCTTTCATATGCATCCCTATACACACACACGTATGTATATGCATGCACGTGTGTATGTGTGTGAATTCCTTCATATGCATCCCTATACACACGCATATGTGTATGCATGCATGTGTGTGAATTCCTTCATATGCATCCCTATACACACACACGTATGTATATGCATGCACATGTGTTTGTGTGTGTGTGTGAATTCCTTCATATGCATCCCTATACACACACATATGTATATGCATGCACATGTGTGTGTGTGTGTGTTTGTGTATGTTTGTGAATTCCTTCACTCCCTCCAAATTGGTATGTCTGGTACATTGTGGAAGTAGGTTAGGAAAACAGAATTCTAAACTTCTTTGAAAATGTCTTTTTAAAAAAAAACAGCGTCTCTGATTCTGGTACAGCATTAACCTCTTACAGGTAAGGATTTAAATGAATCAGAAGCCAACCAGTAAGAGGTTTTGTTCAACAGTTCTCTATTATTAGATACAAGAGCAACACAGGCGCCCCCTTGTGGTGAGGTGGGAGAAATGCAATGCCCCACAGTTAACCACCCACATGGGGGAAAATAAGGGATGCTCTTACCCCAGACTTCGTGTGTGTGAAATTCAAAAGCAGAAAAACTATTCCCTGACAGTCAAAGTTCCCCGAGATGCTAATAATGGCAAAGTGGTGGTTTTCCTTGGACAACACACTCCTGACATCTACGTAGGGTTGATGATAGGGCAGCACCTCCCTCCCCATCAGTGTCACGGGCAGTGCTCCCGCCTGCGTACACAAAAGGATTGCGAAGGTGCATGCATGGCTTCCTCTGCTATTCCACCGCTCCCCAGAAACTTGCATGTGAACCAATGTAAGACACACATGATCCGACACAGTATAACTGTACCTCTCGCCTGCGGACAAGCTTTCATCTAATATGTGTGTTTATCCTACACACAATAAAACAAGATGTCCCTTCCCATCCTCACAATTCCCTGACCTTAACCCCAACATTAACATCCCCAATATTTTAGAGATTAATAAAATAGATATATTTTTAATCTTTCATGTGTCTGTCATGTACACAGAGTATTAGAAGTAGATATGGTTTTAATTGTAATAATCCATTAATAAAACACAACTTTTTAAAGTAGTGCTTAATGTAAGGAAAATCCTTTTTCATTTTTCCACTGCCAACCGAACATTTAACTAAATGGAAACCTTTTATTTGCAAGTTAGAGAATTAGACTCAAGGGAATTCTTATAATCCTCTTAGTACTAACTGCTCTTTTTCTAACAGATTTTTTTCACTGAGCAAGAAGACCACAGGAACATGTGACCAGCTTCTCACAGCGGAACATCGCCACGAGAGAGGCAGATTACACTGACACAAGGTTAAAAATTTCTCTTTCCCTCTTAGAGAAATGGAAATGTTCGACTTACCCATGTTTTCATTTAGAAAAAAGAGAATAGTAAACTATGCCCACACAGTAAATGTACAGCTTCCTGCTACAGAGACAGTCAGGAGAGAAAGGATGGTGGCAAAGGGAAAGGAAGAAGAAACAGGAGGAGGAGAAGAGAATGAGGAAGGAGGGAGAAAAAAGAAACATACAAGGGAATGAAAGACACACCCAGAAAAGGATAAAGGACAAGAATGGTAGCAGGGAGAGAGAAACTGACGGCTGTGGAGGGAGCGCAGGGACCTGGGCTGAATTTGCCCTTCCCATCACCCCTTTTGGTCTCCTGAGCTGTGAGCACCCACACAGATGGTCACTGTCCTTTCACAGCGGGTGAGCTTATGCACTGCACTTTCCAGCTTTCTTAACTGTAACCCTTTGACTGGGGGAAACCCCTCTTTTAGGGGCATCATCATCAGTCCATGGGGGACACGTAGGGAAATCTCACTCTGGGTCTAAATGGCAGTGGCCTGAGCACCTCAGCCTGTGGGCCACAGAAAATGGAGCGGTGAGGCAGATTTGTTCTGGGGCTGTTTCCTCACCACAGGAAGCAGTCCCAGGCCTGTGGCCTTTTCCAGATGCTCACCTCCTCCACCATCTGCTTGACTTTCTTCTGCTGGCAATGCACCATGTCGTCTAGGTGTCTGATCCGCTCTCGGAGGCTGGCTGATGCCTCCTCCAGCTGCTGATACCTAATACCAACAGGAGGAAAAAGGAAATGAACCCTGCAGCAAGGCAGCAGCAGCAGCGACAGGTCACAGCTTTAGAGATCGCCAAGAGGGCCAGGCATGGTGGCTCATGCCTGTAATCCCAACACTTTGAGAGAGGCCAAGGCAGGAGGACTGCTTGGGGCCAGGAGTTCGAGACCAGCCTGGGCAGCATGGTGAGACCCCCATCTCCACAAAAATAAAATAAAAATAGGAAGAATACATCTTTGGGGGAAGCTTTGGTAAAAAATAAATGTAAATTTTAAAAAATAAAAAAAATCTGCCAAGAACAAGAAATCAAATCCCAGGATGCGTTCTTCCTACTTTGTATGATGACCACACAAATCAGTGTGAGTACCAGCGAGCTACCAAACCAGAGGAGCATAGGGCTAGATTCTACATTCCCATTTGCAAGTTTCATCCCATATAAGGACAGTTCTTTTCCAGGGACTCAAAGAGAATTTTTTGCATCATTTACAGACATGAGAAGCTCTCTGTTTTGGGGTTAATAAAATACTGGAAGATCCAGTAAATTATTGTGATGGGAGGGACAGGGAAGAAGGGGCCCAGCGACACAACATATCTGAAATCAATGGCAGAGTACCGAAAAGTCTGGAATTACAGCTGCTCTACATATCCTTTATTTTTGGCAAATGGGGAAAAGGTGAAAGACCTTCTCAACATCAAAATAGAGGAAGCCACATCCCAAAACATTTCACACTTTTGTTTTAAAACAGCACAAATTATTCTCCAACATTGCTTACACTCTCCAGTTCTCTGGGGCCATTGGGGCTGGACACCGGAGGAAGGGTCTGGTGGTCTATTACCCACACCCTATCTCTGCCTCAGCACTACGTTAAAGACTAGTAAGCCTCCGGCTGGGCGCGGTGGCTCAAGCCTGTAATCCCAGCACTTTGGGAGGCCAAAGCGGGTGGATCACGAGGTCAAGAGATTGAGACCATCCTGGTCAACACGGTGAAACCCCATCTCTACTTAAAATACAAAAAATTAGCTGGGCATGGTGGCGCGCGCCTGTAATCCCAGCTACTCAGGAGGCTGAGGCAGGAGAATTGCCTGAACCCAGGAGGCGGAGGTTGCGGTGAGCCGAGATCGCGCCATTGCACTCCAGCCTGGGTAACAAGAGCGAAACTCCATCTCAAAAAAAAAAAGACTAGTAAGCCTTCTAGGCTTTAAACACTCTGAAATTGCAAATGAGGAAGGAAAAATGGGTATTCTTTCAGCACATACTATTTGGCAAGCAGCAAGCCCAACAGTCCTCTTACCAACAGTAACCTAGTGAGACGGGCACAGTTAATCACCATCATAATCCTCTCCCCCTTTAAAGATGAATTTCCATGTTGCACGAGCAATTCTCAGGGACGTTAAGTCACTTGCCAAACACTCAAATCATCTCAACCTTGTTTCCGTCACTAGAGACCCTGAATGGCCTCTCTGCCTTGTAATTTTTAGAAGAGACAGTGTATATACTGTGTTTTCCATGCAGGGTTTAACATACCCAGAGCCAGGGGACACAGAAGGTTTTACTAAGCACAGTTTGGAAACAAAGAAAGATGTTTCTGAATTGATTTCCCAAGCAAAGGGTATTAGTCACAGTTGATGAGTTTTCTCACCAACAAGGTGTATCCTGTGGAGTTCAAGGCCATGGACATCATTAACAGACTGAACTTTGGCACTTGTCTAAGTATTTGATGTGTCACTACACTAACGACCAGCCATGGTCTGCAAGATGTGGCTGGAGGCTTCCAAGGAAACTTGCTCCATATTGGAAGCTCTCAGCCCAATGTTGTACATGCTTCAGTCCGTAATAAGGGACACCCACACAAACGAAAAGGCAAGGGTCAAACGAGCCCATAAAAACACAGTGTGGGCCGGGCGCAGTGGCTCACGCCTGTAATCCCAGCACTTTGGGAGGCCGAGGCGGGTGGATCACGAGGTCAAGAGATCAAGACCATCCTGGTCAACATGGTGAAACCCCGTCTCTACTAAAAATACAAAAAATCAGCTGGGCATGGTGGCGCGTGCCTGTAATCCCAGCTACTCAGGAGGCTGAGGCAGGAGAACTGCCTGAACCCAGGAGGCGGAGGTTGCGGTGAGCCGAGATCGCACCATTGCACTCCAGCCTGGGTAACGAGCGAAACTCCGCCTCAAAAAAAAAAAAAAAAACCACAGTGTGTCTACAACCTAAACCCATTACGCGATGAAAGGCGTCACATCTTACCTTTCCTTGTCAGCGTCAGGTACCTCCCCAGACATTTCTGTTTCATGTTCTAGGAGTTGAAGCTGCAGTTGATGACGTTCCTAAAACAAACAGAAACTGCCATTTTAATCACTGGGTCCCAAGTTCAACAGAGAATGTCTACGTAACGATTCTGGCACTAGGAAGTCCAAGTGTGTAAAACCCTTGTTGGCTCAGCAAAGCCCAAACAAGGCTCGAAACCGCCAAATCTGTTGTTGTGCGTTTATAGATCAGACACAGACATCCCAAATGAAACCATTCAAGATTTATTTTCCAAAGGTATTCCATCAGCCCAGGCTCAGAGAAAATTAATAGTTCCAAATAATGACAATCAATACTTTAAACTGGTGAGCTGTGATACTGCAAAACTCTTTATTACTTCCGAGTCATCAAGAAAAGAGGCTCTGGAATTCTGGCTATATCGTCTTTCCTAACTGAGTGGTGTTTATACAAGCGTATTCACTTGTAAAAATGTGTTGTGGTCAGAATAATGGTCCTCCAAAAATGTCCACGTCCTAATTCCTGAAACCTACTGTTATGTCATATGGAGAAAGGAACTCTGCAGGTGTGATTAAATTAAGGACCTTGAAATAGGGAGTTCCCGGGTTCCAGAGTTGGGCCCTCATAAGGAGAAGCCAGCAGGGTGAGAATCAGACGGAAAGAGCCTGAAAGACACTCTGCTGCTGCCTCTGAAGCTGCAGGAGGGGGCCACAAGCTGAGGAGTGCAGCTGGTCTTCAGAAATTAGAGAAGGCAGGCAAATGCATTCCCTTCTAGAGCTTCCAAAAGGAATCCAGCCCTGCCAACACCTGGATTTTAGAACTTCTGAGCTCTAAGAATGTAAAATCATACAATTGTGTTGTTTTAAGCCACTGACCTTGTGGAAATTTGCTGTGGTAGCAACAGGAAACATACACGCATCGAGCTGTGCATTTTGTACACTTTGCTATATACATATGTATATTTACAAGTCTACCCAAAAGAGGAGGAGTCTGGAATCATTTCTGTGGACAAAGCTCAAAAATGTTCATAAAAACATGGTGCCCATCATAACTGAAATTGCACTAAAAATATATTACAGACATGAGTGTAAAAATTTCCTTACAACGGATGCTGATCAAATCCTGCTCACTGACTGAGAGGCTATTTTACCTTAGGTGCTTTTCTGAGAACTAATGTTCCTCATCTTTATGTTCAGAAATTCCACCCAGCAAACTCTTACTAATTACATAGATTCCAAACCTCTTTCCTAACAAATTATTAAAAGCAAATATTTGAAAATTTAACTGCCACAGCTTTTGAAGCTGTAAGCAGTGATATACCAAGAGGTAGGTATATCCCAAGGTGCAGGGAAGCAGTCCACCTCGAGCAGAAGAGTATATTATCAAGGAAAAGTGTATAATAACAAATGTAGATAAACTCTGACTGGGGTTTTGTTACTGTTTTTAAACCTCTATGGCAAACGCACAATTTTACGGCCTGGCCTGAGTAGAACGTTCCTCCCACCCCCGTGTGGTTGAAAGTTTCACATTAGCCCTGAAATAACAGTGATAAAAGCTTTCACAAGTGAATGCCTCCCTCCAAAAAAACAAAAAACAACAAAAACTGTCATAAAGTAGAATGAGGTCTGACTTACTTACAGCACATTTTTAAAATTCAGTTTCTTTAAATTGAGGAAGCTTTGGGAGGCCGAAGCGGGTGGATCACGAGGTCAAGAGATCGAGACCATCCTGGTTAACATGGTGAAACCCCGTCTCTACTAAAAATACAAAAAATTAGCTGGGCATGGTTGCGCGTGCCTGTAATCCCAGCTACTCAGGAGGCTGAGGCAGGAGAATTGCCTGAACCCAGGAGGCGGAGGTTGCGGTGAGCCGAGATCGCGCCATTGCACTCCAGCCTGGGTAACAAGAGCGAAACTCCATCTCAAAAAAATTAATTAATAAATAAATAAAAAATAAAAATAAACTTAGGAACAACAAATCTTACCTTTACTCTGCTTAATTATTCCTAACAGTTGTAAGCACCTGTGAGATCACTGCCCGGATTAAGGCATAGACTGTTACCTATTCCCCAGTAGGGTCCCTGGCAGAGAACACTCCTTGAAAGATTTTTACTGATGAGAAAAAAGGTGTTTCAAATACAGTGCTCACCAAGAGAGACAGTAAACTAAGACATACGGCAGAGAAGCTGGTCAAAAGCACATGGTTTGTCCTTGAGCAAAATCCAAAACAGACAGCGGGATATGGACGCTGCCACAGCCCTGGCGAAGGACATGCCGTTCACATAGTGTGAGACGGGGATTTGGCCAGATTCCTGCTCTCAAAGATTTATCCCTGAAAAGGAAACAGTGGAAATTGGCCTATCTAATCTAGTCCAAATAAATACAGCCTTTCTCTAGCCTAAATGGAAAGGGAGATTTACAGAAAGGGCCATAAATTTCCAATCACTAAAGAGGACGCCAACACCACTTGGGGGAGGTTCTGGGTTTTCCTAAATGCTGTCAGGGAGGGCGGATCTTACCAGCTCCCTGGCTCCACCCATTCACCCCACATGAGGGCTCCACGTGAAAATCCGTGGGGAAAGACAAGGAACTTTCCGAACCTCAAGAGTACAATGAAGATAAGCATAAAAATGGGTCGAAACAAGCTGACTCTGAGGGCAGACACAGGCAGCCTTGGAACAAAGTGAAAGTCATAGCCACAAATGACTGAACCCTTACTACACACGAGGAACCATGCTTCGCACTTGGCATGGATTTGTCTCATTTACTGCTCACAAAAGCTCTAAGAATAAGGCGTACCATAACCAGCATTTCACAAAAGTGGGGACGGAGTTTGGAAAAATCAAGTAACTGCAAACAGCTAGGAAGAGACACAAGATCCAACCCCCCAGGCTGTCTGATTCTAAAGCCCATGTTGGTAACTACTACATGTGGTCTCTCTGTAGGACAGCCTCTCGCCCAAACCACCCCGCTATGCTGCCTGCTCACCTTGCCTTTTTTTTTTTTTTTTTTTTTTTTTTTTTCTCTGAGACGGAGTTTTGCTCTTGTTACCCAGGCTGGAGTGCAATGGCGCGATCTCGGCTCACCGCAACCTCCGCCTCCTGGGTTCAGGCAATTCTCCTGCCTCAGCCTCCTGAGTAGCTGGGATTACAGGCATGCGCCACCATGCCCAGCTGATTTTTTGTATTTTTAGTAGAGACGGGGTTTCACCATGTTGACCGGGATGGTCTCGATCTCTTGACCTCGTGATCCACCCGCCTCGGCCTCCCAAAGTGCTGGGACTACAGGCGTGAGCCACGGCGCCCGGCCTCACCTTGCTTCTTTATGCTGCAGGAAAATCTGCCACACCAGAGAAAGAGCATCTGAGTTAACCCGCATCTTCTGCTGTTCTAAGAGAACAGTAATGTGGGAGGAAGCTCACCCACGTTCTAGAAAGCCCGCTTGCTGCCCAGTCTTCACCACCCCCGCCCCTGGTCAACACTAATGTTAGTCCTTATTAAGCCAATCGTCTATTCTTCAATAAAAGACGGGATTCTGTTTTCCCAGGGGAGAGAAGTGAGCTTGCAATTGACTCTTTAGTTTGCCCAATTCTCTCCCAAGTAAAAAGCTGAAGAGTTAAAAAGAAGCACAGCACCGGGTGAACTCTGACGCTCCAACGTGTAAGGCCAGTTGCCTCGCCCGGAGTCAGACGGACACATCCCTCCCTCTCCGTGCCTCATAACTATGTCATCACTCAAGCTCCTTATCCGGCCTCGCCACATGGCTTCCCCGCACCCGCCTCTGCATATCATACCCAAGGCCACACTCAGCACTAAACTAGGCATCCAACCCCAGCCCGCTGTTCAAAAACCTACAAAAGAATTTTTTAAAAGAAGCCCCCACCAAACCCTGCCCGGTAGCAGTCTGCCCCGTACGCCCCCGGAAGGCCCACTTACCCAAGGTCCCGCCCACCTACCAATGACAACTAGCTCCAGGCACTTCCTACCTCTCAATAGCCAATGAAATTGCCTTCACCTTGTTTCCCCATGACCAATCAAAGCCCACTTACCCAAGGTCCCACCCACCTACCAATGACAGCTAGCTCCAAGCATTTCCTGCCTCTCAACAGCCAATGAAATCACCTTCACTTGGTTTCCCCTATAGCCAATCAAGGCCCACCTACCCAAGATCCCGCCCACCTACCAATGACAGCTAGCTCCAGACGCTTCCTGCCTCTCAACAGCCAATAAAATTGTCTTCCCTTTGTTCCCCCAATAACCAATCAATTGCCCTCCCTCCCCATAAAACCCCACGTCCTAAACAGCCAGGCACGACTTCTTTGGCCCCTTCCTAGATAGCAGAACCTCGGCCAGGAGCTGAATAAATTAGCTTCTCATTTTCTTATACTTGCCTCAGTTTCCTCATTTTACCTCGGCAATAAACCTTACACAAAGCACTGAACGTAATGCGGTTCCCATGGTGGTGACACCTCACCTTGTTAGGGGACAGCAGAGGGGCTTATGCTGCAAAATCCATGGGGTTAGGAGACCTCTTCTCAGAATCACATGAAGCCTGACAGTGGCCTTGCTCTCCCTGTCCCTTCTCTGTCTCCATGATCAGATTGGAGATTCTTGGCATCCTGAATGAGTCACAAGGTGCTAATAATATTACAGTCTCGGCACGTCACCACTCTCTCCAAACTCAGATGCAGCCCGGGAGCCATTTCCAGAAACCAGTCACAGCCTTCGCCTTGAACTCCCTGGCCAAGAAGTCAGCCGTCACCTGCTAAAGGTCGCCCATCCTTTCTCTTCCTTCTCTTCCCTCCTTTCCTCTTTCCTTTCTCCCACCACTTCCTCCTTTTCCTCTATTTCCTACGTAATTCTTGGCCTCTTCCCTTTCTCTAAACGGGCTTCATTATCCCAGCTGAGATCCTGCCTTCCCCATGTCCCTCCATTCCACTCATCAGCCTGTTTACCACACCCAGAGAAATGGGGCCTCCATTCCCCCAAGTCCCTGGTGTGTCAAGGAAAAGCCAACCCTTGAGACACCTGCCCCAGAAACAACAGGACTGTGGTATCGATAGAGCTTGATCATTCAATGGATAAACTAAGTTCACGCCTGGGCACCAGCAGAGCAAGGCTACTACAATATTAATTTTTCTACAGAATTTCACAAGTAATATTTTTTTAAAGCATCAAAATAGTTACCGTGGGAAAAATTAGAACTTTGTTGAGCTTTCTTATAGTTTATTTTATAGCTTTGTCTTTTTGTTTGTTTGTTTAATCACAAATTTGGGAAGTGAGAGGGATCCATATTCAGGGATTCTCGTATCTTCAGAGGGGCCTGCAGGGAAAAGTTTGGGCAAGTGGGCAACAGGCCCGACACTATGTCCTACCTTTTCCATACGCTCAATCAGCCTGTCCAGCTCACCGATCCTCTGGTCCTTCTCCTCTAGGCTGATCTCTGCCGCCTGCATCTTTTTATTGGCTTCTTCAATTGCTTTCAGAAAACTATTGGTTTCTTCCTGCAAAAGAAATATACTCTCCTAAGTACAACCATAGGGTACCTACGCTACTCACCAGCCTCCAAGCAGCTCTGGCCTTGCTGTATCATTATTTCTCTTTAAAACCTGACCTTGGAACCTGAAAGTGTCTCAGAGATCATGAACTCAACCCCCATGATTCTGGTTCTTACCTATGAATAAGGATATACGGTGTAGCTTGTTAATGCACCTCACTAGTTTTCTTTTTTCCCTTGAGTCTTTATGTCCAAAAGGTGTAAAAACATTTAATAACATTGAGTAGGTACTCAGAATGTCACTGTATTTGCCAGAAGTGTAAAGGCGATTAGGACCAGATTTGGAATTGAATGCAGAATTCCCAGATTCTTCTCCCATAATGCAATGCATCAGCTCACTACTAAGAAGAAACCCAGTCAATCATCAACACATGTATTAAGCCTCTAAGGACACAGAGGAGCCAGAAATGGAGTCCCTGCCTTCAGGAACTTATAATCTCCTGGAAAAGCCAAGATGTGAGAAGCACAGCCCCAGTCAAATGGCAGGTTTAAAAGAATTCCACAGTAAAAGCAGAGGTAGAGAGTGAGTTTCCTAAGGACACATAGTACTCTGGCTCCATGACTGGGAGAGTTCATGCATGGAGAGGGTGGCATTTAAGGCTTTTGCAGAGCTTAGGCAGGATCAAGGACAGGAAAGGGGGAAATTTCAGGTAGAGAGAAGCAGATGGAGGAAGGGAGGGCACAGCTGCAGGCAAGCCCAGGATCTGCTTAGATGCCGGAAAACTGTCAGAGGAGCTAGAAAAAGGTGTGTATTGACAGACAGGAACCAGGGGCTATTCTGAGCAGGGACGGGGATGAATAAAAGTAGAGGCGAAGAGAAGAGGGAAGTGGATGAGCAGATGAATAATTCCATGATTCTCTACCTATGGCCAAGCCCGCTAAGCCACCTCTAAGAAGAAACTACCACGTAAGCATCACCAAAAATAATGAACCAACAATCCCTGGTTAGTTAGCAGCTGCTGCAGCGTACGCACCAGGAGTGCCTCCTTCTCGGCATTGTGCCTCCTCTGCTCTTCCTGCAGCTTCTCCTGGTACTGGCTGTACAGCTTCTTGGTCATCTCCCGCATCACCTCGGCATTGGCTTCCTGGGACGATTCCACCTACAGAGAGACTCATTTCAGAATGAAGCTTTTGCAGGGCCCAGGGGAACTGGCAGCTTCCGCTCCATGCATCTCGTGTGGGGACTCGCAGAGACAGTGAGCCCATCCACCAGGTCCTGTGGCAGAGAGAAGCAGCAGGAACTTACAGGGCAAGGGAGGAAGAGGGGTGAGCAGAGCCAGAAAAATTAAAAGTGCATTTCACACGGATTTGGGGGGCATTTCACACAGATTTGGGGGCATTATCAGGACAAAGTTATGATTCACATGAGTGACTTCTTCTTCAAAAGGTAGAAACTTATTTCTCTAAGCAATCTCATTAGGTGCATTGGCCAAGCCAGCTTTTAGGTCAAACCAGCCAAGCTCCAACAAGAAATCTCACCCTTTCCACACCTTTGTCCTTTCCTAAATGCTGCTTTTGGAAACATTCCAACCTAGCGTGGGGAACACTAAGCTGGCACCCCCAGTGCTGAAGCAGGCCTGGCTTAGGAGGTGAGGAAAAGTCAGTGGAGTTGTGGGTGGGCAGGGCTTAGGTTGGGGGCAGCTGGGGCCTCCTGTTTGCCACACGCAGACTTCCTGCCGTTGATTTTACACTGCAGAAGGTGTGCTCTCCTCCCCTGCTTCCAGGTCACTGCCTGTTCCGGAACCTAAACTCTGAAAAAGGGAGGCATTCTTCAACCTCAGCCGGTTACATGTTTATTTCCAAGACGTGACAAGTCTCTCCTGATGCCCTTGACTTCCCCCTTCTCACCATCGGGCAAGTGTTGGTACCAAGAAGTCCCAAAGTGGGAAATCCTGAGCAGAGCTTATCACCGGCTGACAGAGACCCTCTGTGCCACATGCTCCATCTGCAGTGCATGCACAGCTGGCTGCAAGGGTCTGTCCCTGGAGGCCCATGCACTCTGCATCCAGTTCATGTAACATACCCTGAGTTCCTGAAGCTATTTTTTTTTTCTATTTGGGGAGTAAAATAAGAGGAGGGGTAGGAAAAACCTTGTGAACTCCACTGTCAGGATGAAAACCAGCACCAGGCTCTACCACAGGCCTGGACTCCAGGGAAGCAGCCTCATGATGTCCCCAGATGCCTGGTGACAGGCCACCTCTAGAAGCAGCAGGACTGAACAGGACACACACACAGAGTAGACACTCAGTGAGTATTTGTGGAATGAATGATAGAATAAAGCCTCTAAGCTGAAAAAAAAAGACCTAAATCAGTCATTTCAGGCATTTTTGGCAATACAAACCTTTTCCCCCTCAAAGTAGCACTTACTCAGAAAGACAGTATATGGAAAAGAAGAGCTGCCTATTAGAAGTGAACGTAGAGAGGAGATCTGTTCCACGGCTGTGGCAGGCCAGGCGGACTGGCAGCAGAGTCCCAGGGCAGCAATACAGAGACCCGGGCAGTGCACTGGCAACCCCTCCTCCCCACCCAGCCCACACCTGTGGCAGCCTTCATGGAGGTGCCCACCCTTCCCCGTTTGTCTCCCCAACTTAATTACCAATAGTACCACCTTTCACTCCCCCACATATTCTGGTCGAGCAATAAACTATGTGAAAACACTCCCCGTAAGAAAGCCTACGTCAGCCAGGTGCAGTGGCTCACACCTGTAATCCCAGCTCTTTGCAAGGCTGAGGCAGATGGATCACCTGAGGTTGGGAGTTTGAGACCAGTCTGACCAAGCTGGAGAAACCCCATCTCTACTAAAAACATAAAATTATCCAGGCGTGGTGGTGCGTGCCTGTAATCCCAGCTACTAGGGAGGCCGAGGCAGGAGAATCGCCTGAACCCAGGAGGTGGAGGTTCAGGTGAGCCGAGATTGCGCCACTGCACTCCAGCCTGGGCAACAAGAGCAAAACTCCATTGGAAAGAAAAGAAAAGACAGAAAGAGAGAGAGAAAGAAAAGAAAGAAAGAGAGAGGGGGGAGGGGGAGGGGAGGGGAGGGGAGGGCGGACAGAAGGCTGCCTAAGTCTGTGCTGAGCAAAATTTTAAAACCACAGACTTACATAAAAAGGAATTCATGCAGGATATAATTTATTAAGTGGAGCCATGCATGGAACTTCTATCACTGGGTGGGAAGTCCACCCACGATTTAATCTGGGAGGGACACTGAGGTCTCTAGGGCATTGGAAGTCTAGAAGTCCAGCTAAGGAATGCGCCCACCCTAGGGGCCAAATGGGACATTCCCAATTTAGTCACCGACCAATTTTCTTCTTGAGAAGGGGTCACAGCCCAAGTACCAGCTAACTGTGTGCCCCTCAGCTCTTTATTGTCAAGCCAAACAGAAAGGCCTTGGGACCTCAAAGAAAATGTAAACAGTGAAGGGAGAGACGTCCAGGGCCTCCAAAGTCCCAGATCTGTGGGCATCCCAGGTGTCTCCTCAGTACCTCTACAGCAGCACCATGGTGTCTACAAAGCCCTTGAGGCTACTGGGGGCCACGAAAGGCATGCCCAATAGGGGCGTCTATGGAGCACCCTCAGTCTGGGCTGAGCACTACGGCTCATGCCTGTAATCCCAGCACTTTGGGAGGCCAAGGCAGGCAGATCATCTGAGGTCAGGAGGTCAAGACCAGCCTGGCCATCATGGTGAAACCCCTTCTCTACTAAAAATACAAAAATTAGCTGGGCGTGGTGGCGCGTGCCTGTAATTCCAGCTACTGAGGGAGGAGGCTGAGGCAGGAGAACTGCTTGAACCTGGGAGGCGGAGGTTGCAGTGAGCCATGATCACGCCACTGCACTCTAGCTTGGGTGACAGAGCAAGACTCTGTCTCAAAATATATATATATATATATCCAATGAAGAAGAGAATGGAGAAAAGGAAACGTTAAAGTTGAAGACGGGACAACAAAGGCGAGAAGAAGAGAGGAGAAAGGTCCGTGGAAAATAAGCCTCGGCTCATATACTCCACCTTCATCTTCAGCAGCTGGTTTTCAACTTGTGCTACCTCCAGCTGCCTCTGCTGCTCTCTCAGCTTGTCCATGGATGCTTCGTACGTCTGCTGCAGATTTCTGATCTGATCCTTAATGTTGCTGTTTTCCAAAGTCACATCCACAAGGGTTTTCTGTTAGGATGAAAATAAAAACAAAACCAGATCCGGGGGCATGAAAACACAAGCCCTGGGACATCCCCTTATCATCAACCACTGAGGTGGGTGTCAGGTCACAGCAGCTACCAGTCTGGGACCCTGTGCTGTGAGGGACTGTAGGTCCCCCCGGTGGCCGAGAGGTCTGCCCTGTAGCTTGGTGGGACCGAAAGCCTCTCCCATACCATCCCATAGCGGCGGCCAACACCACTTGCCACTGCTTATGATGGATGGAAATGGATTAAAATGGAGTCCTTCCAAGCTAATGTGTTCATAACACATCATTTCACATGGAAAAAGAAACAGCTTTTGAAGACAGTAAGTATAGTACAATCCCATTTTGAAAAATATGTGTAAGCATTGGTTCAAATATATGTTTATGCACAGGGAGAAAAAAGACTAGGAGGAAATCCAGATCGAGTTTTCACTGTGTGGCAGGGCTATGGATGTCTATTCTATTCTTTGTTTTTTCTATATTTTCCAAATTCCCACAGTGAAATCAGAAAACAAAACACTAGCTTTCTAGAATAGAGACATTCCTCTTTTTCTTAAAGAGCTGTCCCTTCTGTGTTTCTAGATTGCCCACCAAGATAACAGAGACAACATGACTGAGAATACTCCCATGCCTGCAAACGCTTCACCTTCCTCCCTTAGGCAGAGAAGGGCAGTAATAAAGAAATACTAAGGAACAAAATTTGGTAATGTAGAGAAATGTCAAAAGCCTACTGATTTTTGCACCAGGCCACACTGAGGCAAGGATGTTTAAATCAATAGTGCTGGCCAGCCATGGTGGCTCATGGCTGTAATCCCAGCACTTTGGGAGGCTGAGGTGGGTGGATCGCGAGGTCAAGAGATCGAGACCATCTCGGTCAACATGGTGAAACCCCGTCTCTACCAGAAATACAAAAAAATTAGCTGGTCATGGTGGCGTGTGCCTGTAATCCCAGCTACTCAGGAGGCTGAGGCAGGAGAATTGCCTGAACCCAGGAGGCGGAGGTTGCGGTGAGCCGAGATGGCGCCATTGCACTCCAGCCTGGGGAACAAGAGCGAAACTCCATCTCTAAAAAAAAAAAAAAACTAGACATGGTGGTGTGTGTACCTGTAGTCCCAGTTACTCAGGAGGCTGAGGATGCAGTGAACTCTGATCACACCACTGCACCCTAGCCGGGGCAACAGAGCAAGACCCCATCTCTAAAAAAACAATTAAAAAGAAGAAAAAGGCCCAGCACAGTGGTGCCTGCCTGTAATCCCAGCACTTTGGAAGGCCAAGGTGGCCGGATCACAACCTCAGGAGTTCAAGACCAGCCTGGCCAACATGGTGAAACCCCATCTCTACTAAAAATACAAAAAAATTAGCTAGGCATGGTGGCAGGTGCCTGTAATTTCAACTATTCGGGAGGCTGAAGCAGAGAATTGCTTGAACCCGGGAGATAGAGGCTGGAGTGACCCGAGATCACGCCACTGCATACTCCAGCCTGGGTGACAGGGTGAGACTCTGACTCAAAAAAAAAAAAAAAAAAAAAAGAAGAAAAAAAATGGTTTCGCTATGTGCGGATTTGGTTTCTACTTGGTTAATTCTCCTTAAAGATAAATGGCCTCCACAGAATCCCTGGCGCTGGAGAGGCACCTTCTGTTATGGCCCCAATCAATCATCTACAGCTTCACATTAGACGATGTGGACACCTGGTGTTGGGTACCGTTTCTAACACCTCTGTTAGGAACAGATGATCCATCTCTGAAGCTTCTTCAAGTCCTCAGCCTCTACTTTGGACAATAATAAGCTTCTCACTCCTAAGCCTACTTGAATCAAGAAAAGGAATTTTGGAAGGAGGTCGTTCGCTATTAAAGAAAATACTGAAGCCCTCTGGAAGATGGGGTCACAGAACAGGAGTCTCAAGGGGCTTTAGAAACTACCCAGGCCAACTACCCACTCCCCCAGCCCCACTGACTTCACAGTTTCTACTCCTATATCTATACAAAAACCTACACTCTGGCCCAAGAGACTAGGATTCTTCTCATCCTGGCTCTGCCACTAGGCATCTTGCTCATGTCATTTCTCTCTGTTGGCCTCAGTTTGTTTATCCATAAAACAAAGAGATTAGAGATCCTCTCAGTTCTTTCTAGCTCTGATATTCTATGGAATCAAACCAAGGGTCTGGTCTCCCTGTCAGTAATAATGAAATTGGGTAGAGTGGGCCAGTGGAAGAGGCTGGGATTCTGCATAAGGAAGAAGCCAGCTACCTTGAGATTCGGTCCACCAGGTACCCAGGTGGCCCCCAACATCAGTGTCTAACACCGTAAGTCAGTCCTCTTCCTCTAACAGGCTGAGTTTCCTGCTGTGAGATGGCACCTTCTCCCCCTCCCCGCCTCCCTTTCTCCTCCTCCTCCTCCTCCTCCTCCGTCTTCCTCTCTCTCTCTCTCTCTCTCTCAGCTGTTTAATGTTTTAGCTATAAGGCTCCTCTGGCTGTCCAGGACTCATAGCCTACATGATAACTAGGAATCAGTCAAGGTGCCTGGGTTAGGGCTGGCCTGTAAATGCCGGAGTGTTGGCTAGATGGCAAAGCAGAAGTTGCCAGAAAATACTTGCAAATGTATTTTTTTTTTTCTGGGAACAAAAACCAGAGATGTAGGACAAATACTAATAGGTCTGAATTCAGGTGAGACCGAGCCCTTCCTGGTGGGCTGGGAATGAGACGGCGTTGGAAAAGGGAGGACAAGGAGCCTTGGCAAGCCCCTCTGACCACAGGAGGAAGGGAAAGCAAAGGCCACAGAGCTAACCAGACCCAGAATGGGGCTTGGCCTAAGGCCAGGGGAAAGCCGGCATACACTCAAGGGAGCCAGGAGAAGGGTGGGACTCAGAGGCCCCACCAGAAATGGGCATCCCGGACGAACCCAAACTCAGGCCGCCTGGACCCACTCCAGGACAGTGGCTGAGCTGTGCTGCTGTCGCTGCTGACATGCCAGCTGCTCAGAGAATTAGGGGAAGTGGAGAATCCCAGCGTGAACATTCGATTGTTTATCTAATTAATTGCTTATATAGGACTAGAAAGGATTTGAAATCCCTTCGGGAACTTTTGAGAAGAGGGTAAAAAGAGAAGAACCAAATCAAGTTGGAGGAGAAGTAAGAGCCATTGTTCATATGTTGGAAATGAAGACCAGGGGAACCTATTTCCAATACATATAATGATTTGCTTGGAACGTTTTCAGGTTAATTTGCATGTTGAGGGACTTGGCAGATAAGAATGGGAAGCACTTGAATGGTTAGTTCCTAGTAAAGCAGCTCAACCAAGAAAATAGTCCCTCGAAGTGAGTTAACAACGTGCATTTTCACAAATATAAGATCCGGGGGCTTTCTGCTTCCTTGTCTGCTAATACAAGACATGGAATACACATTTTTTCTATTTTAGATAGTCTCACTCTGTCACCCAGGCCAGAGTGCAGTGGCACGGTCTTGGCTCACCGCAACCTCTGCCTCTCGGATTCAAACGATTCTCCTGCCTCAGCCCCCCAAATAGCTGGGACTACAGGTACGTGCCACCACACCAGGCTAATTTTTTGTATTTTTAGTAGAAACAAGGTTTTACCATGTTAGCCAGGCTATTCTCAACCTCCTGACCCCGTGATCCACCCACCTCAGCCTCCCAAAGCGCTGGGATTATATGCGTGGGCCACTGCACCCAGCCCCATGATTCTTTCTGATACAAAATAATTTCCAAGTATAAAAAACTGTTGACAAGCTTTCTTCATATTGCTTGCCATGAAAGAGTACAGGTTGTCTTTGGTGGCGTCTGTGTTAACCTGTGATTAGGTGGCACTTCCCGTGGCACTGGGGCTGGAGGGAGAGGGCTGATGCATGGGGTTAGGCACTGATGCTGAGGACCACTCGAGTGTCTAGTGGAGAAAGTGACATCTCTCACACTGAACTCAGGGTCTCAATTCCCTTTTCGGTGAAAGCAAAAACGAAGCTTTCGAGTCTCAGCTTGGAAACGCTTCCTTCAGTTCCTTCACCGTCTCCTGGGCAGTCTTTGCAGTGGTTCTGCTTAAAGAATCCTGAATGATGGGCCAAGGACATTCTGTGACTTAGCTTTCTACAAGGGGACAGGCCCCACTCTTGATTAAGCTGGGTTGCCCTGTCGTACCAGTAAAGAGACGAGTACCTGCAGGCCAATGGAGTCCGATGCCAAGGCCGAGTTCATGGCACTGAAACTATCCAAAGCGGATGACTGCGTTTGGATGTGATTCTCCAGATACTCCTGCTGAGCATGGGAAACCTGGACAGATTGAGGAGACAGACACACAAAATCAATCCCTACGCGCTCTCGACAATCTCCAGTTAGGCTGGAATTTTCTTTTGTTAGAAGCCATTTCTACGTCAACAATATCTAAAGTAAGGCTTTAATTTTTTTTTTTTTTTTGAGACAAGAGTTTCACTCTTGTTACCCAGGCTGGAGTGCAATGGCGCGATCTCGGCTCACCGCAACCTCCGCCTCCTGGGTTCAGGCAATTCTCCTGCCTCAGCCTCCTGAGTAGCTGGGATTACAGGCACGCGCCACCATGCCCAGCTAATTTTTTGTATTTTTAGTAGAGACGGGGTTTCACCATGTTGACCAGGATGGTCTCGATCTCTTGACCTCGTGATCCACCCGTCTCGGCCTCCCAAAGTGCTGGGATTACAGGCTTGAGCCACCACGCCCAGCCGTAAAGCTTTAATTTAACAGTCAATGCATGCGTGACCCAGAGAGTAGAAGGCAGGAATTGTCTTCCTTTGGGTAGGGTTTACTCAGACCCCAGCTTAGTCCTCTCAACAAAAACATGCAGGAGTCAGAATGTTGTGCTTTACAAGGAAGAAACCATCAGAGAGGTTGTGTAATTTGCTCGCAGTCAAACAGCTCAGAAGTGGCATGCCTAGAACTAGAACCCAGTTGAAATCACTTCTGCAGCCACCTTGCTCTTTGCAGTCAACATACAGAGAACAGGTCTTCGGCTCACTCGATTCCCAGGAGCAGTTTGTCGCTGTTCTTGCTGCTGTCTTTGTTGGGTGTGCGTGTTTAACACGTCTAAGATCATCGGAGGCCAGTCTTGACCTAGATACTGGCAAGAGGCTAGATACAGGTAGGACTGGAGATAGAAGTGGCCTCTGGGAGCCGCAGTGCAGGAGGCGCGCTCCGGGGAGTGGGCACCGAATTGCACAGGCCAGGCCCAGGAGCATGTGGCAGCTCTGTGTTCAGCACTGTCTCAACAGCAGTAATTTTTAGCAATCTTAATCTGGCTGCAGTACGTAGGCTGGCTCGGAGAAGGAGGAGACTTGTAGGCAGGGTTTCTGGGACAGTCCTAGCATGAGAAAATGAGGGTGCGGAGGAGACGGTGATGGAAGTCGAGGAGCAGAGTCTTGTTTATGCATCTATTGCAAATCCAATTCTTTGGCTTCGACGACAGTCATTAGCGTCTGACAGTCGTGGCAGAATAACTTTCCATGAGCAGGTGAGAATTTCACACATTTACATGCCGGTGGGAATGGGCTGGGTAGGTATGTTTATACAGCACTACCCCTAGGATCGAGGAATGGGCTAGGTAGATACATTGGCATAGCCCCACTCCTATAATCAAGGCTGTGGTGTTAGTTAAGCAGTTAATCTCTCAGCTCTGCCATAAACGGAACTCCAACGCCTTCTGTTTGCCTGTTGGAACTGCCCTTTTTCCCGCAGATATTAACTCTTAACGGAAGCTGTGTCATAAAGAGAGGGGTTTTTATCTCTGGGATTATTAGTAATCTTTTTTAAATGTCCACAAGCCTTAAGCTTGACTAAACTAGAGGAAGGTTATTTTTCTTCAAGTTTTCCGTAGGTGATACACTCACTCACATGGTGCAAACATTTAGAAAGTATAAAGTTACTTTTTTTTTTTTTTTTTTGAGACAGAGTTTCTCTCTTGTTACCCAGGCTGGAGTGCAATGGCGCAATCTCGGCTCACCACAACCTCTGCCTCCTGGGTTCAGGCAATTCTCCTGCCTCAGCCTCCTGAGTAGCTGGGATTACAGGCACGCGCCACCATGCCCAGCTAATTTTTTGTATTTTTAGTAGAGACGGGGTTTCACCATGTTAACCAGGATGGTCTCGATCTCTTGACCTCGTGATCCACCCGCCGTGGCCTCCCAAAGTGCTGGGATTACAGGCGTGAGCCACCGCGCCCGGCTCACATTTTCTTCTGGCACGTTTGGGTTTTGTCTTTCACATTTAAATCTTTGATCCATTTGGAATTTATCCAGGTATAAGATTTCCAACAGCACATGAGTTTTCCCAATAGCACATACTGACTAGTCCATTTTCCGTACTTTATTTGAGATGCTACATTTGCCATATACTGGGGTAGATTTCGGGACTGTTTTCTATTGATGTTTGCCTATTTATGTGCCATTACTGAACTGTGTTAATCTCTGAGGCTTTTTCACTTTCTTTCAACATGTAATAAGGCTAGTTCCTCTCACTGCTCTTTTTTTCCCATTATTTTCCCAACTCTTTTTATTTATTTTCTGTATAAACCTTAGAATCACCTACTCCACTTATAAAAAACAAAATCTATTGGTTTTTTTACTGGGCCATATTAAATTGGTACAGTAACTTGGATCTTACGACGCTGAATCTTCCTTTCTAGGCACATGCTATTTCTTTTCACTTACTATAGCTGACTCCCAGGTAGTTAGTATTTTTCAGTTGATGACATTTTAGAGGTTTTTGTATATTGAAACCTATTTGTGTTTATATATATATGTGTATATATACGTATACGTAGATATATCTACATATATATACATTTATTTTTTTTTTCGAGGCAGAGTTTCGCTCTTGTTACCCAGGCTGGAGTGCAATGGCGCAATCTCGGCTCACCGCAACCTCCGCCTCCTGGGTTCAAGCAATTATCCTGCCTCAGTCTCCCGAGTAGCTGGGATTACAGGCAGACACCACCATGCCCAGCAAATTTTTGTATTTTCAGTAGAGACGGGGTTTCACCTTGTTGACCGGGATGGTCTCGATCTCTTGGCCTCGGGATCCACCCGCCTCGGCCTCCCAAAGTGCTGGGATTATAGGTGTGAGCCACCACGCCCGGCCGTTATTTGTATATATTAATTTTACATCCTGTGTGTGTATATATAATCTTATACCCTCCTACAAAGAACGAATCTTTGTTCGTAGTGGTTTTTTGTTCCGAGTTCACATTCACTCCAGCTTTCCAGGTGTACAATCCTATAGTTTGTAAACGGTGATAGTTTTACATCTACCTGTCCCATTTTTAAACCGCTATGCTTATTTCTATTGTTTCACTAGTATGTCAAGAACAATGTTAAATAATAACGCTGACCACCGACATCCGTGTTCAGTTCCTGACTTTGCTGAGAACACCTTGAATATAAAGAAGAGGTTATCGTGCCACAAAAACTTCCCTTTAGGTAATACATTTCATTCTGTAATAAAATTGCCTCAGTTTATTTAAATATGATTTTGTTCATAAAGAACACTATATACGGCCAGGCGTGGTGGCTCACGCCTGTAATCCCAGCACCTTGGGAGGCCGAGGCGGGTGGATCACGAGGTCAAGAGATCGAGACCATCCTGGTCAACATGGTGAAACCCCGTCTCTACTAAAAATACAAAAAATTAGCTGGGCATGGTGGTGCATGCCTGTAGTCCCAGCTACTCGGGAGGCTGAGGCAGGAGAATTGCCTGAACCCAGGAGGCGGAGGTTGCAGTGAATTGCACTCCAGCCTGGGTAACAATAGCGAAACTCCGTCTCAAAATAAATTAAAAAAAGAGCAGTATATAGTCTCTCCAGCCACTAGCCACTGAGAGACCACTCTGAGCTCTGCCATGCCTCCCTATCTCCCAGCAACTGAGATAATGACTTATTGAGATAATGACTTACTGACAGTTCCTGGGTGAGCTGCTGGATCTTCTGTCTCATCTCGTCATAGTCTCCATACATTCGCTTTCTCACTTTTTCCAAAGTGGCTCTTACCTGTAGCCCACAAATATTCTAGTTAGAGATCAAGCTATAACATTTTCATACAAGATTTCCAAAACTTTTAAGAAATTCTAAAGAAAGAAGGACCCTACGTAAAAATAATCTTAAGAACAAGACAGGAAAAAAGGGAGAAAGTCACCCCAACGACTAGTTAAACACTAGTTAGGAATTATCCAAATAATTTATACATATACTTATATATGTATATAATTTTATCATGTATATATTTTATATATAGTAAAATACATAGACATATATTAATATAGAAATATAATAAAATAATAGGTTAATATATATTAATTACATATAATTATATATATAACAATTACACATAACTACAATAATAAATATTAACTAGCCAAATAAACTGTGAAGAGAAAATGGTGCTGAAATCCTCAAATTACATTTGAGCAACGTTTTGCCCTTTTCCCATCACATATTTTAGCAAGTACGATGTGTTTTAACAGACTCATGGCTAAGAGGACCAAAAACACAAAACGCACCCTGTGCTTCTCCCTCTATCTGCTCTGACTGCCAAAGGGCAGTTACAGACCCAGAATGGAAGGAGGTAACATCTGAACCCTGGAGAGCCCACACGTTCCAAAGTCAGTTCCCAAGGCAGTAAATGTAACAAAGGTTCAAGTGACTCCCCAAAACGCTTGCTTGCACAAATGCTGTTACAATTTCTCTGTAGTGCTACCTTCAGAGGAATAACAGGACCTTAAAAACTCTAAAAACACGCAACAGAAACCTAACAAACAGTCCCGGTCTCCTCCCTTCTTCTGTGTCCCTAGGATGGGCAAAGTCCTCAGGAACCCTCAAACAGGACAGGAAGTCTCAAGGGAGTTTTCTGCAGCACACTCCAGAATTTCAACTTTACGAAGGGCCTAAAGGCAGCAGTTTGTTAGAATTTACGAGTTTAGGACAGTATTGGAAGCCTTAATTTTGAAGTACATTGTTTTAAATTAGATAGCATGTTTATTAGGGGTTACTGGATACTGGTGGAGATTTGGGGGAAGGGAGAGTCAAGACCCCAAGACTTCCCCATATGAATTCTAAAAAGAGAGTCTACTTTCTTGCCATTAACTACAAACATTTGGGGAAAATGAGGTTAAAAGTACAACTTTTCATTCTAGGCAGGCAGAATGGCTTTCAGGTGCGGCCCTGAGCTGGCTCTTGTGCTGCTCCCAGTGGTGAGTGGGTGGAATCTAGGACTTCATGTCCCTCCCAATGGCAAACACTGCAATGACCAGGCCAGGGATGGAACTGAAGCCACTACAGCAGGGAGGGAAACTAACTTTCAGGTCCCTCCTGCAGTTGTAGATCACAGCGAAGGGTGGTAACTCCAAGTCATGTGACTTTGCCACATCTCATCCATGGCTCAGGATTAGCCAACATCTCCTGTCCTTGTGTTGGGCAATATGGGACTCTGGACTCTGTTTAGGTTACTAAGGGAGGAGCCATACCTCTGGAGTATTTGAATGAGGAAGGTCTATGTATTTCCTTGAGAAAAAAACACAAGAAACTTAGAATGTCTGAGCTATTCCGAACAGGAAATTCAGGAACTGAATATTCTGAAGGGTTAAAAAATATGTTTGAAGGCCGGGCATGGTGCCTCATACCTGTAATCCCAGCACTTTGGGAAGCTGAGGTGGGAGGTTCACTTGAGTCCAGGAGTTTGAGACCAGCCTGGGCATCATGGCAAAGCCCCATCTCTACAAAAAACTATCTAGGGGTACTGGCACACACCTGTAGTCCCAGCTACTTGGGAGGCTGAGGCAGGAGGATCACATGAGGCTGGGAGGTAGAGGCTGCAGTGAGCTGTGATTGGGCCACTGTGCTCCAGCCAGGATGACAGAGTGAGACCCCGTCTCAAAATTAAGTAATAAAATAAATTTTAACAATCATGTTTGAAAGGTGAGATAATCGGGGGTTTGAAGTTGGTGGCTGTCATATACGTTATGTGTATGCGAGTTCGTTTTTCTGGCTTTTCCTTATATTTTCTGCTAAGCATTTATTATTTTTTAAATTCAACAAGAAATGTTCCTTTTAAAAACTCACACCAAAGCTAAGACATCATGAGTTTGCATCTTATCTGGAAACTCACAAAAGAAAATGGGGGTCACAGAGCTGTGATTTTAACCTTATGTATCAAAGCCCAGCCCCCCATAATCTCAACATGAGAACTGAAGCCAGCACAGGACAAAAGTGACTTGCTGGGTCAGAGACAGAGCTGGAGCCTGAAGCGCCATCTGCGAGCTCACAGGCCTGGGTGACTCCCTGGCCCCACGCTGCCTTAGTTCAGAATAGCTCAGACATTCTAAGTTTCTTGTGTTTTTTTCAACACAAACATATTTTTTAACCATTCAGAATATTCAGTTCCTGAATTTCCTGTTCAGAATAGCTCAGACATTCTAAGTTTCTTGTGTTTTTTCAACAAGCATTGTGGAAGCCACTGGTCTGTATTGTGAGCCCATCAATGTCAGAGCAGCCCATTTCCTCTTCCATATAATCCGGGTGCTCTGGGCAACAGTGGAATCAGTTAATCTAGGGAAACGCAGGAGGGAACAAAAAGAAACGGAGAGAAAAAGAGAGACCGACGGAGTAGAAAATACTCCAAAACGTTAACAGTCGCTCTGGTTGAATGGCGAGATTATGAGTGGTTTTATATTCTTCTTCATGTATTTTTGTATTCCCCAAATTTTCTCAAAAGAACATGCAATTTAAAAGATAGGAAATAAACGATCAAATGCAAGGAATTGGCACTGATTGGCTCGGTTGGACAATGTCTATTGTTGCTGACTTCCTGGCATCTGTTTCAACCCAACCGATTGACCTGAACCAGCCACAGTCTTCCTATCCCCTTGCCAGCGATGGATTTGGGACTAGCAAATGTAATAAAGACCACACAAGAGCCTCCAAATCCTACCTGGAAAGAAGCAGCCATCTGCTCTCCCGAGTATACTTACCTAGTAACATCCACCCAGCAGAAGTTCAACACCTCCTTCCTTACAGATTCACCTCTGGACTTCAACATTACCGTGAAGATACACAGAAACACTTCCAGCCAAAGTGATAACAACACTAAGAATTCTTTCGGCTGGGCGCGGTGGCTCACGCCTGTAATCCCAGCACTTTGGGAGGCTGAGGCGGGTGGATCACGAGGTCAAGAGATCGAGACCATCCTGGTCAACATGGTGAAACCCCGTCTCTACTAAAAATACAAAAATTAGCTGGGCACGGTGGCGCGTGCCTGTAATCCCAGCTACTTGGGAGGCTGAGGCAGGAGAATTGCCTGAACCCAGGAGGCGGAGGCTGCGGTGAGCCGAGATCGCGCCATTGCACTCCAGCCTGGGTAACAAGAGCGAAACTCCGTCTCAAAAAAAAAAAATAAGAATTCTTTCAAAATGCCTTAATATGTTCACTTCAATGCTTCCAACTCTACCCTCCTACATGCTACAAGAAGAATACAGAGGAGGGGCAAAAACTCTCAAACGGCTCACATCTTTGATGTAGTTCATCTCCTCTTTCAGCTGGCTGGTGGACCAGCCGTACACCACCATTTCCTTCTGCTGATTTGGATCTGATCTTCGCACCACGCCGTAAACAACGCCCCGAGGCAGCTTCCTGGTAGGTTCTCCATTGCTCAGGTCAAGATGCTACAGGAAGGCAGGAAAAGAGAAAAAGAATAACGACTCTTCAGTCCTCATGGGAACAGCTGTAATAACGGGCCCATGTGTCTGACCGTGCAAGTTGTGCCCAGCATTTGTTGCCTGGCTGTGAAGATGGAGGGAGCAGAAACCCCACCCGGACTCTGTTCACCAAGTTGCATTTGATATAGGCTTGCGCTGCATTTACCCTGGACAAAGAGCGCCTTTTGCTAATGTCTGTAAGGACCTGTCTACTGCCCTAGCAATAATTCCCACGAAGACACCAGACGGACTCGTTTTGTTCCTGGTAACAAGAGCAAGCTTTTGAAGCTTCAGGTCGTAGTAATGCCGTCTTTCCCCTCATTCCAGCTTCTCCGCATGACTTCAACCTCATCACTACATATTTGGCCTAAAAAGCACGAGGTTGAGATTGGTGGTCATCTGGCAGCTAAGCTGTCCTCTGAGAGTAGGGCTAGTCCTGGGGCCGAGTTCCGAGAGAAGGAGGTTGTGTTAGTATATAACCTGTTGTGACCATTCATAAAATATTTCTGAAAAGCCAGGCCCAAAAGGATGCTCCCTGTCCTGTTCACTGGTTCTTTTTTTTTTCTTTTTTTTTTTGATACAGAGTTTCACTCTTGTTACCCGGGCTGGAGTGCAATGGCGCGATCTCGGCTCACCGCAACCTCAGCCTCCTGGGTTCAGGCAATTCTCCTGCCTCAGCCTCCCGAGTAGCTGGGATTACAGGCACGCGCCACCGTGCCCAGCTAATTTTTTTGTATTTTTAGTAGAGATGGGGTTTCACCATGTTGACCAGGATGGTCTCAATCTCTTGACCTCATGATCCAGCGGACTCAGCCTCCCAAAGTGCTGGGATTACAGGCGTGAGCCACCGCGCCCGGCCAGGCCCGGCTGGTTCTTAATCCCTTCAGTTAAAGCTTTGGTCATTGTTGAAATGCAAATCTCCTTGAGAAAGAGCAGCATGTCTTACCACACTTTTATAGAATGAAGGCTTAGCAAGCGGACAAGGGGGAAATGACGATTTGTTAAGCACCTAAGCTACAACCGCTCTGTGACATAGCAATTGTCCTTTCTGTCCTCTCCACTTCAAAGCTGAGAAAACTGAAGTTCAGAGAGGTTAGACAACTTTTTTATGGACACAGGTCTACATCCAGCCTGGCTCTGTGATTCTTTCATTAAGCCCCTCCCCATATTGCAGGTTCTGTTTAGAGGCAGGCGGACAGAGTAGGGGCCTCCACAACATGGAAGGGACAGAAGCAAAAAAAGAGCCAAGATCAAGGACTAAGACTTCAAACTGACCGCCTCCCAATTTTCCATGGGGCTGACCCTGGTACCTCGACAATCTCAAGACACAGAAACCCAAATTCTATAAAGGGTAACTCTGCTCTCCTGCTAATTTTTCAACTGCCTTGGATGTATTGTCACACACACACACACACACACACACACACGCAAATTTTTTTTGAGACAGTCTTACTCTGTCATCCAGGCTGGAGTGCAGTGGAGTGTACTGGACATTGGCTCGTTGCAACTCTACCTCCCGGGTTCAAGTGATTCTCCTGCCTCAGTCTTCCAAGTGACTGGAATTGCAAGTGTCTCCCACCACACACAACTAACTTTTGTATTTTCAGTAAAGATGAGGTTTCACCATCTTGGCCAGGTTAGTCTTGAATTCCTGACCTCAAGGGATCTGCCTGCCTTAGCCTCCCAAAGTGCTGGGATTACAAGTATGAACCACCATGCCATGCTTGTAATATATGCCAGCCCAATATATTATATATATACATGCCATGCTTGTGATATATGCCAGCCCAATATATTATATATACATGCCATGCTTGTGATATACGCCGGCCCAATACATTATATACACATGCCATGCTTGTGATATACGCCGGCCCAATACATTACATACACATGCCATGCTTGTGATATACGCCAGCCCAATACATTACATACACATGCCATGCTTGTAATATACGCCAGCCCAATATATTATATATATACATGCCATGCTTGTGATATACGCCCGCCCAATACATTACATACACATGCCATGCTTGTAATATACGCCAGCCCAATATATTATATATATACATGCCATGCTTGTGATATACGCCGGCCCAATACATTACATACACATGCCATGCTTGTAATATACGCCAGCCCAATATATTATATATATACATGCCATGCTTGTGATATACGCCCGCCCAATATATTATATATACATGCCATGCTTGTGATATACGCCAGCCCAATATATTATATATACATGCCATGCTTGTGATATACGCCCGCCCAATATATTATATATACATGCCATGCTTGTGATATATGCCCGCCCAATATATTATATACACATGCCATGCTTGTGATATACGCCAGCCCAATATATTATATATACATGCCATGCTTGTGATATACGCCAGCCCAACATATTATATATACATGCCATGCTTGTGATATACGCCCGCCCAATATATTATATACACATGCCATGCTTGTGATATACGCCGGCCCAATATATTATATACACATGCCATGCTTGTGATATACGCCGGCCCAACATATTATATGTACATGCCATGCTTGTGATATACGCCGGCCCAATATATTATATGTACATGCCATGCTTGTGATATACGCCGGCCCAATATATTATATGTACATGCCATGCTTGTGATATACGCCGGCCCAACATATTATATATATATAAACACACACACACACACACACAGACACACGTATATATATATATATTTTTTTTTTTTTTAGATAGAATGTTGCTCTCGTCACCCAGACAGGAGTGCAGTGGCACCATCTCGGATCAGTGCAACCTCCGCCTCCCAGGATCAAGTGATTCTCCTGCCTCAGCCTCCCAAGTAGCTGAGATTACAGACACCAGCCACCATGCCTAGCTAATTTTTTAAATTTCTGGTAGAGACAGGGTTTCACCATGTTGGTCAGGCTGGTCTTGAATTCCTGACCTTAGGTGATTCGCCCGCCTTGGCCTTCCAAAGTGCTGGGATTATAGGAGTGAGCCACAGTGCCCAGCCCACAAAGGATTTTTTAACACATAAAACTTTAATTTGCATTTGAAAATCGTTCATTGTGGCAGTAAGTACCTTATGATCCCATTCAAAGTTTGCAAAATCAAAGAAACATCTAGAAAGCTACATGATGATTAATCTTACAGGTTACTAAGAGGGGAACCATGGGCGGGGTAGGGGCGCTAGAGATCAGTATGACTTTTGCTTTTTCCTTTATACCTTTCTGTATTGCTTGGTTTTTATTTTCTTTTGCTTTGTTTCAATGTAAGCTTTTTAAAAAGTAAGAAAACACAACATCCATTGCTTTTCACCCTTCCTCACAGGCTAGGGAAGATAAGGGATGCAAGCGGCTGTCATTGTTTGTACTTGCTTCTAGCAAACGCTTCCCCTGAGTCCCTTACAGCCAGGCCCAAAGGCACTGATGCCACCTTGAAATTTGTGCTTAAGTTTGGTCAACTGAGCAGTCAAATGGTTCGCGGCAGAGTCATGAACGGGCATGAAGTTATCCCCGGTTTACTGGACATGTAACCAGGAAGAGGAAAAGCTCCGATGAAACTCCCCACATACCAGGAAACAAATGCAAGATCTTTCAGTCACCGACTCCACCCAGTTCCTGAAAAACAAGCCACATCAACATAAGGCTCCGGGGAATCGCTTCTCTGCAAGCCAAGCCTTTCAGAGGTGGACCCTGCAGGAAAGCTCAGGTGGCCGGACACAGGGGATCCTGTCCCCGGCCCAGGCAGGGAGATGGGGCTGCCGTGGAGCGAGGAAAACAAGCAATGCCAGGAAGAATGAGGTCTATGGCTGAGAGGCCTGGGTCTCAGAGCTCTACACACGAAAACTGATACACTAAGGGAATAACCATAAATCTCACATGTTCACTTTTTGTTTTGAGACTGTGCGTTTGTCTGTGGAAAACATCTAGGAAGATGGAATCCAGATCTCTAATGCCAGTTTCCTCAGGAGAATGAGATTTCACTTTTTCCTGTATGTTCTTTTGTAGACTTTGAAATTTTTTGGCAAAAAGGGAAAAGTATCATTTTTGAACTGATCACTTGTGTAAATGTCAAGGTCTAAATCAAAGGCCCCTGGGAGGGGCACAACCCCAGACTCTAGGAGCAGGGCCATCAGCACCAGCCACTGCAGGGGAGAGGACTCCTGAGCCAGCCAAGGAGCTGCTGGGCCCTGACAAAGAAAGTGAAGAAGAAAGTTAATGAAGCAAGACGAGGGGAAGAGATTTGGTGTCGGGTGGTTTTATTATGTGATATATAGTATTTTCTCTAATCGTCAACATGACCTACCACGTAAATAGTATGACTTCTCTTCTGCCACGGCGACAGCCTGCAAGTACCTGCTCACGTCTTTCCAAACTGGAGCTCCTTCCTTAACTACAAGGCTACAGTCAGGAGAGGAAGTGGAACGCACATCTCCATGTGGCATCCCTGGGTCTCCAGCTGTAGGGAAGCCAAGGGCCTGCCCTCAGGTCCCAGAGCCATTTGGAAGAGGCAGGCCCAGGATGTGGGGCTCTTTGCACTTCGCCGGCCCATCCCCAACCCCACACCTGCGTCACTGCCTCCCTTCTGTTCCTTTAGGGACCAACCTCCTTCTTATTTCAAGTTAGTCACAAGTGCTGTTCCCTCAGTCTGCACGGCTGGGCTGAAATGTCTCTTCCTCCAGAGTCAAGAACACGTTCCCTGACCCTTCAGACCCCTGAGGGCTTCTCGGTCCACTCTCCCAGCACCTCCCCACGACACTCCCACGACTGCAGCCCATCGACCGCTGGCATATGTCAGCATCTTTGTGTGGGGAAGGCCCACTCCCCTAACAACTGTGAATCCCAACAAGTCCAGGGCCTGTCTTCTTTTCCACCATAATTCCCAGTTCTAATTGTGACTGACAGCAGCGAGTCTCTCAATAAATATTTGCTGAATGAATTGG